GTCTCTCTACAACCTCTCCTGCATTTATTTTTTGTGTTTTTTGGATTAATGCTAGCCTTGTTGGGGTGAGATGATGTCTTATTGTAGTTTTGATCTGCATTTCTCTAATGGCTAATCATCGTGAGCATTTCTTCATGTGTCTGTTAGCCGCCTGAATATCTTCTTTGGTGAAGTGCCTGTTCATTGGAGATACCACAATTTATCTGTCACCTGTTGATGAGCATTTGGCTTGTTTCCAGTTTTTGGCTACTGTGAATAATGCTGCTGAATGATAATACTTCATACAGAAGTTTTTGTGTATAGTCATGTACTTTTATTTCTCTTGGATAAATACCTAGGAATGGAATAATTGGGTGATATGGTAGATAAGAATTTAAATTTTTAAGAAATTGTTATATTGTTTTCCCATTTTATATTCTTTTGACTTTTATATTTTTTACATCCTACATTTACTTTTAAAATACGTTTGTTGTATGTGATGCTTTACAGTCATTGTTCTTTTTGATATTCAGGTGTCCCATCTTTGGCCAGTGAGAGACTTTTCAAGTGGATTCCTATGTCCTTTGGATGAGATCCCAGTTATCTTCCTTGCTTTTAAACAGAACAAGATGTTTCAGGCTTCTCTTTTGTACATCCTTACTGCAAACCTGAAATCAGACATTTCTCCAAGGAGCCCTGATTCCATTTAGTGGGAAATGCTCTTTAGAGACTACAGTCTGGGCAAAATTGTGTTCATTAAGTTGTCATTGCTCTAAGGGTTTTTCAGTGTTCAGTGCTAAAAAAAAAGCTATTTTTTTAGAATGAGAAAAATAAGTCATGATATTTCTTATGGATTAAATTTGTGTCCCCCAAAAATACCTGTCATCTTGGCTAGGTCATGATTCCCAGTATTCTATGATTGTCTACCATTTTGCCATCTGATGTGATTTTCCTGTGTTGTAAATCCTATCACTGATGTAATGAGATGGATTAGTGGCAGTTGTATTGAGGAGGTCTACAAGATTAGATAGTGTCTTAAGCCAATCTGTTTTGATACAAAAGAGAGAAATGAGCAGAGAGACATGGGGACCTCATATCACCAAGAAAGCAGTGCCGGGAGCAGAGTGTGTCCTTTGGACCTGAGGTTCCTGTGCTGAGATGCTCCCAGACCAAAGGAAGATTGATGACAAGGACCTTCCTCCATAGCCGATAGAGAGAGAAAGCCTTCCCCTGGAGCTGACACCTTGAGTTTGGACGTGTAGCCTACTAGACTGTGAGAGAATAAATTTCTCTTTGTTAAAACCATCCACTTGTGGTATTTCTGTTGTAGCAGTACTAGAAGACTAAGACAGAGTTTGGTACCAGGAGTGGGGTGCTGCTCTAACGGATACCTAAAATGTGGAAGTAGTTTTGAAACTGTGAATGAATAGAGGACTCATAAGGAAGTGAGGTGAACTGTTAACCCCAGAGACGGCACAGATGGTGAGGAGCAGCAGCAGAGGATCGGCAGCAGCAGAGAACCAGCAGCAGCAGAACCAGGAGACTAGTGTTGGACAGTACTGGAGCCAACTCACAGAGTGAAAGAGCTGAGTGCCTTGGTGCAGGAGGCT